CCCCAAAAAAAAAAGGTTAGCTACATAAACAATAGATAAGTATGGCATCATCACTTCAGCTATGGTTCGGGTAGTTTGGCTAGACATGCAGCTAATAATTATTTTTTTCGAGTAAAATTAGCACGCCTTTGACAGCATTACTCCAAAGGTGTTAAATTTTAATACATTTACACAATTTCTTCCGTGACCAAAGGCCATTAAAATTCAACACCCCTATAGAAAGGCATCAAGTCCAGAGTACCTTTAAGTGGGAGGGATAAATTGGGCGTGGTATTTTTCACCCCCACCCAGCAATCTACCTCCTCTTCTACCTGCTGCTCTTCGTTGCGGCGCGCCGACCTGGCGGGCGTAGGCCGCGCTGACGCACAGGTGTCGGCTGGGTTGCCTACCCCCGCGCCGATGGGGGCTGCTCCGTCATCAAAAGTTTCCGAACACCATCACCGACCACACGCCCAGCCCGGCCGTGAGGCTTCACCAAATTAAATCGGACCGAGGCGATGCTGGTCGGGCGGTGGGTAGGGTGCGGGGGTTTGAGGGGTACAATTTCGCAGAAGAACAACATCCCCCCGCTGCTGGTTTTTGCACCCCCTCTGCGCCGCTCCTGCTGCCGACACGGGCGGCCGGCAGGGAGCAGCCGGCAAAAGCAGTGCGGGCTGGCAGAAGTGCGCAAAATAAGAGACCGTTTTGATGCCGAGCCGTGAGTCGGTTGGTTGCGGGTCGCGAGCGAGAGAGAGACAAAACTTTACCGCGACGCTCCCGTCTCGTATCTATCCCGCAACCTCCGTGCGTAGCCGCCGCTCCCGCCTCCCCTGCTCCGCACCGGCACCGGTACAAAGCGGCCAACAAATTAGTGCGGCACGAAGCAGTTTAGGCCGAGCAGCAGTAGATGTGGCAGCGGGATGATAGATCGCCTCTCCGCGCCGACCTGGCTGGGGAAGTAACGAGGGAGAAGCGGAGGAGGAGGGGGTGAGTTGCAAGTTTGAATCCGCGGGGGAAAGGAGGGGGGAGGCACCCAAACCAGCACCCCTCGCCAGCAGCCAGCCCCAGCACACCGGCGGCGGGGGCCGCTCCAGCAGCACGGCTGCCCTGGCCAGCAAAAGGGAAAGAATAACGGCTCTGCAGCGGGGGCCTATTCGGGGGATGAGCGTGGCGTGGGGCAGAAACCAGGAGCAGATACATGCTCATTACAGCTTGGGGGCAGCAAAAGAGCATCATTTCACGGCGCGCGAAAACCCCACAGCGGCAGAGTATT